TCTAAGCCAACATATATTTTTACATCATAAAAATTTTCAGTATTTAACAATCTTTCATTTTCGTTAAAATATTTTTCAAATGTTGAATTCATTTTAAGATTAAAAAAAATCGAATGAATTAAATTAGTAATATTCCTCAAATTTTTACACATCTTCGATATTAATATATTAATATTAATATTGGTTCACAATATTCGGAATTATTTCAGATGTTCGGAATTATTTCGGATATTTATTTTTGAATATTACAAATATTCGTTATCATTTGTTACGATTACAAATATTTGATTAATAATTTTTAATTCCTTAATTTTCAAGTATTAATGGTTTAACTGGTTTAACATTAGAAGATGAGCCGACTCATGTTTACGAAAAATATGCAGGATATCTAACAACCAATTCGGAACCTTTTTCATCTATCTTTCCATTACCATCGAATAATTCATAAAACCACCAGCCAAAAAAAGCACAATAAGAAAGGTAGGCTACGTGAGAGCTTTATTTAGTGACGATGGAAGTGTAAGAATATGCCAGGTTCAAGTAAAAGTGACTTCTCAGAACCCAAATGGAATATGGTTTTTTTCTTTTATTGCAAATATAATTTAGTAGGCATACTGTAATTTTGTTAAGTGTTTGAGGGGGATTTATCAAAATTAATGAATATTTGAAATAAACAAAAGTGTTTTAAATGATTATAGTTACGAATATCCAAATAATTACGAATATTCGAAGGGTAGAATTAAAACGTCCCACTTTTAATTGTAAATCTTCTTTCAGTAGGTGAAATAAAGCCAATTCACATTATCGGCTGAATGCAAGAGAGATGCAACTAAATTGGATTTACCATGTATCTATTGAAGTCATTGAAATTTAGTAAATTATAATTTATATTAATTAGAAAAATTTCTCGCCGCGGTGCAGCTCACAAAAATTCCCCTTCCCCTATCCCTTCGTTCCCTCTTCCTTCTCTAGTCATATAGACCTTTACACATTTGACTCCTTACTACTCAAGAAGAAACAACAAAAAACAAAAAAAAAATACTATGTTGGATTGGACATATCCACCCACACACCACCAAACCTCCATAAGGTTGCTACTGAGTATTTAATTTGCACGCCTATTATTGCTCAGATAAAATAGCAAACAACGAAGTATTGCGATGGTCTTAAAAACGTCGAATTCTTTCTTTTTTTCTTTCAATACTGGTTTTAATAAAAATCATATTAATTGGGGATATGAATACAGTATATTTATTATAATTAAGTTTAGTTAATAATGATTTATTTTTTAATTATATATCAAGAATTAATTAATTTTTTTTTTCCAAAAAAAAATAGATCTATGTAAACAATCAGACTAGTTTCAACTTATGGCGAAACCTTTTGATTTCCACGCAATTGCAAAACTCTCTAGTTTTGAAAACCAACACTAGCAATAGTTCATCAAGTTAAGATATTCAATTAATTAAATTTGATCATTAAATTATAACTAATGAAAAATATAATAATAAATCTAACATTTATTAATTATTTTTATTTTTTATCAATTATTTGAAAAACTTCTAATTCATCAAATCTATTACCATTTATTATATTGATGTTACTATAACTACTTGTACTACTACTAACACTACCATTTATGTTAAACAAAACATCATTACCACGACCAAAAAATGGCAAATAAGAAGGATTACAACCAACTGCATAATTATTATCATTGACATAACTAAATTCTAGAGCATTGATATTATTTCTATTACTTATATTAAAAATAAAACATTCAGTTGTATTTTTCCAACCACCTCCATTCCAATTAAATGGGTTATAACCACCAACTATTTGCTCAGAGTTTTGTATTCTGCCAACTACAAGAGTTTTGTTGATATTATCACATTGTTGATGAAACATAGCAGCATTTAAACCATCCCTACTACTGCGATATAAAAGTTTGAATTCATATTTGACTTCCCTGAATGAATCATATGGTGGAGTTTTTCTATCAATCCAACTTGCAAAAAGCAAAGTAAGATTTTGATTGATTGTTAATGATTCAAGTGTTGGTTTCAAACTTGAAATTCTTGATGGTAATAAATTTAATGTTTGTTGCCTATCAGGAAAAAAATGGTATTGTGAAAGGGATCTCCATAAAGTCCTAGGAAAAAGTATACCATATGGTTCAATTTTATCAAAAAAATCCTCTTTAGAGATATCCTGAAACCTTACTAAAGAAATAAATTCTTTCAATGTGTTACCTAAATCAGCAAAATATTGTAATGGCCAATCTTCAACATTGGTATTATTAATTTCAGGATGTTTTGCTAATCCCCATTTAAGAATGTTTTCCCAAATAACTATTTCATCAACAGAAAAATCATCTCTTTTGAGAATATCCAATAGAATTGGTTTTTCCAATGATTCAAATTCATCTGATTCAAATAATTTTTCACTATATTCACAAAATTTTTCCAAATAAATATTTTTCAATTCATTAAAATTTTCATTAGCATAAATCAATTGAAGAATTTTAACTGGACTTTCTTTTATATAATCTTCATAATTTTCAATAAAGTACTTCAATATATATTCATAAAGTGATTCAATGCCAAGTTCATCTGCTGCAATTAATAGTTCCAATACTTCAGCACCAGAATAATTTTCAAATTCAATCTTACATGTATATAAAAATCTTACAAAATGAATTAATTATTAAACAAGTTATTATTATTATTGTATATCAATAATATAAATAAATATATGCATATAAATAAATTTATTTAAACTTACTTGAGAATAGGGTTGAAAAGTTTTTCACTAATATTAGCTTTTTTAATAATATAATATCCATTTTCCTTTGTTGCATTACTTAATTCATTGCTAAAAAATGGACAATGAGCAGATATGATAGATGCATGTGCATGAACTTCTTTAATGTTTGGTTCTAAGCCAACATATATTTTTACATCATAAAAATTTTCAGTATTTAACAACCTCTCATTTTCGTTAAAATATTTTTCAAATGTTGAATTCATTTTAAGATAAAAAAAAATTGAATGAATGATAAATGGAAAGGATCGACATGCATGTGGAATTTAAAATCCCACTTTTAATTGTTTCAGTAGGTGAAGTAAAGCCACATTCACATTATTGGCTAAATGTAAGAGAGTGGAGAGTAAAAGTGAGATGCAACTAAGTTGGATTTGCTATGTATCTATTGAAGAAGACTTTGAAATTTATAATCTATCATCATCATCATACTGTAATTGTCACATATTTTGCATATTATTAAATCATATTAATTGAGAGTATGAATATGTTATTTATTATAACTAAGTAATAGTTAATAATGATTTATTTTTTAATTATATCAAAATATTCTAGTTTATATTATTACATTGCATTTAAAAAATAGATTTATAATTAACTAAAACTGTGCATCTTAACAAATGTTTACTGTAAGTCAAATTTGGTTTTTCTAAAATAACAACAATAATAATGGTCGTGTAATAATTTCTGATTGTATGCCATCAAAGGATAAAACTTTTGATAAAACTATACACCTTAACAAATGTCTAAATTATTTTTTTTTTCACCAATTATATAGAAATTCAACATCAAAATATTCTAGTAGACATTACTGTAATAACACTATATAAATATACTACTATTTAGTAAAAGGGTATGTATACATTATTGCACTAATTAAATTTTTTCTTTTCCAAAAAAAAAATAGATTTATGGTAAATGATAGTAATGAAAAATATATAAAGAAAAATTAATAATGTATTTATTATTTTTATTTTTATCAGTTATTTGAAAACTTCCAATTCATCAAATTTAGTACCATGTACTTTAAGTCTTTGGGTCACTATAAAATGACAATAATCATTTATATGAAAATAAAAATCGGTATAATAACTCAACAATAGGATTGTTTTATAATTCAAACAGAAGATGTTGGATCTTTTACGAGATTTTAAAGGAATAGAAAATGAGGTCATTGATGGAAATCATTAATAACATCTTGAACCATTGCAAAATATTGATGAGGTAACTATACCATTATAAGATTGTATTATATATAATAAAGAATAAAACTTATAGCTGTTAAGGCATTAATTTGTGTAATGTGATTGAATAAGTGACATATTGTCAGCAAAATCTCTTTCATTACCATGATGTTTATAGACAATGAAATATCAAATGCTGGCAATTACTGATTGGGTGGACATTTGTGCATGTTTTCTGAATATTATTGATCCATCTTTATTAAGAACGAAAGTATTGGGAATTCTTCCGCAGGTTAGTGATAGATAGATTAAAGTTATTATGTCGTGTATAAACTGATGAGTCTACAGTGGATGTTAAGTTTAGTTTTGGTATGTTACAGCTGAAGGCTTTGGGGCGTCGGCCTGGAAGAGCAATGTCGTAAGATGTTGAAGGTTTCTGCTCCCCATTGCTGTGCGTGACTGTCCAGCCGAAACAGTGCTGAGCAAAGAATTAGAATATCTGATTGTGTTCTGCGCAGATATAATGACATATATATAAAAATTTCATAATCATAGAGCTAATATACCGGTATTTTTTATTGTATCTGCTGTAGATGCAAATCTGATATAAAAATGTTGTGGGATTAAAAATGATGAAGATGTTACATATGGTATAGTATTTCTGAAAATGTTTGTCTTAAAAACGCTAACCAGTGTATATGCTATGGAACTAGTTCCAGATCGTTCAAGAGAAAAATAGAAGAGAATCTTAATATGTTGAAGACCAAACTCGAGGTAAGTGTTAGACCATTTTAATTTTCTGTGTGAACGTTTGAAAAACTTATGAATAACGATTTTATATTTAGCACCCCGTGTTGGAAATGGATACAAATCTTTATGCTTCCCTTAGGATAAATTTGGAAAGTATTAGCTCTTCAGACCTTACATGGAAAGATCCGGAAGGGAGCATGGTACTTAGTGACGACTCAGAGATAGTGAGAGGCTTGAGACCAAGCTATAAGCGTATTTTTTTGGCAAGAACAACTTAGTGTTTAGGTTCGAATATCCTGATTTTATATATTTACATTCACTACTAGGAACCACGTGAAAATATGAAATGCATTCTTCCCGGTTCGGTTGTATCCAAGCGTGGTGAATTCATGGAAAATTTTAATGGTTCAAGTGTTTCAAGGTATATGGGAAATCTACTCCATAATAAAGAATCGAAAGAGAATGAACCCGAGCTGGTAAAAGCAGCGGAACGTATACTAGCTGTACTGTGAGTAATTTCATCAAGTACTTATCATGATGCAAATAATTATAGGATAGAACTATTTAACATACTATATATTATCTAATGACGAGATATGGAGCAATCCAGCATTCCCATCTAGTAAATCTCGCAATGATCAAAGTCAAGGGACATATATTACCGACGTTGTAGTTCCTTTACTTCAGGCGAGTTTGGGAGGTCTCCAAATGGCTATGCCTGCTTGAGCACGTGAGAAGATAGCTGATAAAACATTTGTTATGAAAAGAGTGAAAATTTTATACTCATCATATCTATTCACCGATTACAGGGCAGAACGTCAAAGTCTAGCAAGTAAGGCTCGACGAAATATAGGAGTGGATGAGGAACGTATGGGAAAAAAGCCTGATGTCATGATGTTGGTAGAGTATCGAGAAAAAATCACAGAGCTTTTATATACTGAATGTTCACGTATCCTCTGTAGCAAAACAAAAAAAGCAGATGATCGTGTGAAGTTGTGGGGAGAGACACTAGATGGGTTGAGTTTGGATTTGACATGGAATTTCTCCAGAATAATTCCAGACGTCTTCCAGCTGCACTTGTCACTTATTATTGTTTGTTATATATCCATCTCAATACATAACACTGGGCATGGGTAACCTGGTACATAGATAAACTCGATAAGTCGGATTTGGCCTAACTCGGACAAAAATTTCCAGCCCTTTTTTTTTTATATTTAAAAATTTCTTAATAAGCCGGACACATATATAAACTCTTGTTAAGCTGTAAGTCGGACAACTCTTCCAGCCAGATAATAATAAATGACTCTCGATAAGTCGGTTCACGTGATTTTCGAATATATTGAGAGATAATCTTTACTATTTTTAGTAAGGCATGATCCAATAATGATAGATGTTAGGAAAAAACAGGTATTCTACCTGATAATGAAATTGACCGACCTATTACTATGGAAGTTGATCCTGAAATAGATGAAGTACAATTACTTATTGATCAGATCAATGTTAATAATGATGGTAATATTATTACAGCAAGAAGTTACATTGAGATTGATTCTGATTTAGGAACTGAAATGCTTGATGATGACGAAATTATTGCAACAGTTCAATAAGCACCCGAAGAAGAAGAAGATATTAGCTCACCAATACCTAATAAAATCGCTTTAGAAAAGCATTCAAAATCTATATAATTACTTGCAACAGAATAATGATATACAAGTAAATAGTTCATATTAAAAGATTTAAAATGGAAAATTAATAGAAAACAAAATAATTCTTTAGAGAATTATTTTTTCAATTATTATTATAAATAAATAAATGATTTAAACATGATTTTCTTATTTTTTTTTTTGTAAAATTGCATATTTTGATAAGTCGGATCTCTTGATAAGTCGGACGCCATGTCCAGCCATTTGTGTCCGACTTATCGAGTTTATCTATGTAGTATCCAATGGAAAGATCTGTGAAATGGTACATTCTAAATAACAAACTTCAAAGATCAGATTACTACATAGATCAGTTTCTCTCATCTCCAGTACATGACTGAAATAAACCAGAAACTTTTTGGAACAAATCTGAAGGAAACACCAAATTGTTCTGAAAGCCACATCTTTTACCCATTAAAGAGAGATCGTACTCACCATCACAAGTATTGTAACTCCTCAAATCTCACTATTGAACAAACATGCCATCCAAACCAGCTTGTAGTAAGATTTCTATTTATTTATGTTTTCAATTTTAAAAAAATTCTAGTCTTTTGATATATTAGAATATGGAAACTTCAAGCAGAACATGGACTGTTGATTAATTCAAGTTGAGAATGAATGTCGAAAGAATCATAGGATGAGGAAATAAAAAATAGGTTTGAATTATATTGGATCAAGATTTTTGCTATAGCAAATAAACACGATTCATATCATGGACATTGGAAATGATAAAGAAATTCTAGATGTGATTTAAGTTACATAGTTAAATTTTGGCGAAACAAACAATGTTTACGCTTCTTAAATCAATTAATAAACTTTTATTTTTCTGCATTTAATTCTAATTTTCAATTCTTTACATTGAATATTGACATTATGTTGCATTGAAGGTTCCTTAGTAATCACCTCGAATTTATATTTATTATATAATAAAACAATCATCATTTTAAGTTGGGTTATTGCCAATTGTCTACCTGGACACATACGTAACCCGCCACCAAAATACATGAATGCATTTTTATTATAAATTTCTTCGTTGCTGTTGCTACTATTTGCTAGAAATCTTGAAGGATTAAATTCCATGGGTTCTTTCCAGTAATTTGGATTCTTGTGTAAACCCATCATATTTATCGCTAATTGTGTTGATAATGGAATTTTGTACTCATCAATTTGATCGGAATGTGTCGAGAAACGTGAAATCGTTGCTGTAACAGGCCTGATTCTTAACACTAGTAAATATCATAATGCTTAATATGAATAATGTTTAATCAATCAAATTAGAAGATTTAAAAGAATACTTACCTTCTTTTATCACAGCTTCAATATATTCAAGTTTATTTAAATCTTCATTGATATTGTTAAAATCGACTCCATGATCAAATACCTTTTCAATTTCATCAACAATACGCTGTTCAACATCTGGATTATTTCCAACACAATGAAGAATAAATGATAAAGCATTTGTGGGCTTTGAAAAAGTCATTATTAATAACAATTTGTCTTAAAAAAAATAAAATGAATATTTGATATTAGTACATACACTATCAATTCCTTCATTAATCACCTCTACAATATTATCACCAACTTCTTTATCAGTCATAGAGTTCTTGTCGCTATTGTTGGAAATACCTTGAGTAATATCTTTTGGTGTATTAGCGATCAATAACATACTTAACATATCAGGTTTTAATTTCCTTTTATCATCGATACCTTCAATCTCTTTTCTACGCTCTTTGACTAAATTGTATGCATAATTTCTCGTCCATATCATGTTCTTGTATAGGTAATTTGTATACATATTTATGAATGGAAGATTACGTATGAATGATGGAACTGATACATAATATTGCACACAGTCGGATGCAATAGCCAAACGATCCAAAAATTCTTCATTTGAATTTTTTTGAATGTTATTTTTATTTGTGATTCTGTTATAGTAAGTTGATAATAAATTAGGTTGTCGGCCAACTATCAGTAACATTGTAGTTTCTGCGAAAATTCTTTTTGCCCAAGTTGCAAAATCAATTTCTACCGATTTTTCTTGTTCATCATGCAAAAATTGTCCTTGTTCTTCGATCAAACTATCCCATAGCTTTTCTAAATCATGAAAAACGTTACTGAGTGTGGTTACGGCAAACCTTAAAGCACTAGGTGACACTGTGGCTCTGATTAAAACTTTCCTAATATAGGACCAAGAATTGAAATCTTCATTAAATAATATTCCATTGTTGCTCTTCTGCAACTCATCTAATCCTTTTCTAGTCGCAACACGAACAAAGTAATTACCATCCTTTGCTGGGCTCATTACTCGTTCGACTATTCGCGGATCACTAATCATTAAGCATTTATCAGATCCAAAATACAATTCAAATATGTCCCCATATTTCAAGCTCGATTGATGGAGCCAAGATGGAATATCCTTCCTATGATAAAAGTATTGATACATGTTACCTATGATAGGCAATGGAAGTGGGCCCGGGTATGGAATTGAACGAGTGAAGTAATTATAATAGAATTTTATAATAGATAACAGAATAATAAAAGTTAAGAGCTTTAAGAGTTCTAAAATTGTCATATTGAATTCTTTGTATAATAACATTTCTGAAAACGTGTTTATTTTGAGGATGTGTAAATGAATTATTGATACACTTGTTTAAAAAGAAACAAATCCCAAAATAAATAAAATAGTGGAATAGGTAATTGTACTAAAGAGAGTTACAATAAAATCATCAAACGAATTGGTATTAAAAAACCAAAGGAAACAATGGCAAATGTTTAATAATAAGATTATTTATAAATAATCCCAAATTTTTTACTGACCAATCATAATTATCGCCGATTATTTTATCAATAGTCGATCTTTTTTAAAGTTTTTGCAATATTCAAAATTGATTGGATAACTTCCGATAATGCCCCAACTGAATTTCATACACCGATTCCTACAAAGTTAAGTTCGACTTACCAAAAATGAATTTTGGTTAGAAAATTTTTTAGTTATGGGGCGGTTTTAAAAAATGGTCGAAAAATATAGAAATTTTATCATGTTTCCGTTCCACTCAGATTTACAAAGTCTTTTATTCTGTTATTTATCTGTTATCTCAAAAATTTAGTATCAAATTTTTTTTGATTATAAAAGGATCTTTATGTTATTATAAATTTGATTAGAAAACCCCGGAACCATGTGTTGTTGTCACAAACCCAATACGGTGAGTGATCGAATTTGAAGTAATATTCAACAAAAAAATTATTTCTATTAATATTTGATCATTGATTTTTTAATTTGTATCTGCATCAGATAAACTTCCTTTGCTTTTTTTGACTCATGGGACATATATTGCAAATAGTTTTACTTATTAAACAGTTGCTAATTATTTGTGATTTAGAATTCGCTTATATTTTTATTATATTATAATAAATCATACGGGGAATCCCATCAAATGTGCATTGGTATTTATATTTACACTTCATGTGCAAAATATATAAAGAACTTTTAATCAGCATTAAGCAGAGTTATCCAATTTTTAGATGCAAGTGTACATTGATATTCACGGTTGATGTTGGAAAATCTCTAGTCCAATAAATGTTTGGCCATTAGCAAAACTTCCACACTGACAATCGTAAATTGTGCAATAGAGTGCATTAAAAAGTCTCTGATAAGACTATATTAATGTTAATATTAGATTAACTTGCATTTTCGTTAGTGCAATGCATAAATATATGGATTGAACTGTGGCTTACATACTTTAAATTGTAGTTTAATTGTTTTGTTTGAACCTCAGTTCAAACTCCATTTGAACTGCGATTTAGACAAAAGAGTCGGGATTCGTGTCTTTGTTAATTATGCAAAAATTTTGCCCATTAAATCTACACCCTATGTAGCTTAGGTTTTGATAAATTACCCGAGCTTTTCTATAGCTTGCTTAAAAACTTCAATTAAAATTTAATTATCGCGTTTTTATAATTTTTATTTATTAATCAACTATAAATGATATAATTATGTAAATTTACATTTATACTGTTGAGACCAAGCTAAAACTGATATAACTTTACTTGTTTTTAATAAAAATGAAAATGTTATCACAACTTTCATCCATACAAAAATTCGCGTACACTTAAGTAATTAGTGAAAATTTACTTTTTATCTAAATATTAAATTGTTTTACAGTAAAAATTTATAGCAAAACCTAAATTTTAATATATAATATAAAAGCAAATCAAATGATTTTTTTTATCATTCGAGATATAGGAAAGCTTGAAATTTTAAATTTCACGTTAACTATTTATTAACGCTAAGCTACATATGATATAAATTTAATGGGTTGTTATTATGTACGTTTTGGTATTTTCATATTAAATAACGAATTTATAAGCCAAACTGGAGATCTATAAACCAGACCGTTCCAATTCCTACATAAAGACATTTTTTTTTACTAAAAAATTATTTTGTAAATGTTCAACACTGAACAAAAATAGTATTAAATGACTTATAATGACTGACCAAACGACTTTGATGACTTGTCATTGGTCAATTTAAGGTGAGCATCAACTTAAAGATTTTACAAAAACCATAATAATAAGGACAATGACCGAATTTTAATTATGGATCAATAAGTTGAACTACAAAGCCTGTTGGTTTTTTTTTGTTAGGGAAATTGTAAAATATAAAAATTTTAAATTAATAGATCGTCAAAGCACAATATTTCATCAGCATAAGTTGACTTGAAATTTCCACAATTAACAGGGTGGTTGCAACAGTGTCTTGCGTTATTTGTAGTAAAGCATCCAGATTTTATTTGTGCAATGGATAAGCTCCAACCTTTTGCATACAACAAATACAAACAACTTTTGAATTACTCTTAATAAGGACAAAAAATCTCGAAAATTATGATTTTTCACTTGACGTATTTGTAAACAAGTAATGATAATAATAGTAACTGATAATTATTTATAATAAAATATATAAAAAAAAAAAGATGTAAATATAGATTATGAATCTTTATTGTAATTTAACTAAATGACCTAAAGTCTAACTTTAATTTTCAAGGAAATATATATTGTTCCTAATTTATGGAATAAATTCTAAAGGATGGCGGATTAGAGCACCACTAACAGCAGATAATATTGTATCCACTTAAAAATGATATGAAAACTTAATAGAACTAACGATCTTTGTTTTATAACTACTATTATTAAAGGAAATAAGGAAAATATTGAATATCCTGGTTATATTTGTCATTGTGGTCCATTTATGACTGAAGTAGATGTCATGCCCCTTTATCATAATTTGATCACAGCTGAAGCTAAATATCCTGGCTCAAAAACTATTGGCTTTGAAGATATAAAAATTTCGAAAGTCATTTGGAGCATGTATCCAGGTGGTAATGGTTATATATCATAAATTACACATACCTACAAAAAATAAAAAATTCAAGCAATATTCAATTAGTATTCCATGTCGCAATCAAAAATAAGTAAATAAGATTTATTAATACTCACCAGTTATCCAACATTAGTCCTAAACTTTGCTTGCAAACGTTTGTTAACACTCGCAAATTGCACAATGTTAATCCTAACTTCTACTCATTAAACAAATAAAACATAGCCATTTACCAAAGCACTTGGCTTTAAACAGAAAATAAATAACATTTTATTTTTGAATCTTGATGTGGTGTTTTTCCTTCCCTATTCGGTCAAGTGAGGACTTGAATGAAGTTATCTTCTATCCCATGCTTTTTCAAAAAAAGACTAGAAGTTCATCCACTTTCATTAAGTTTGTTTGCATTTTTGTCTCCTCATATTAGTAATAGTTATCAAGCTAACATATTCAATTAATTAAATCTGGTCTTATATTTATTGTAAATAAAGTAATCAACAAAAAACATATGAAAAATATATAAAGAAATATAATAATAATCTAATATTTTTTATCAATTATCTGAAAAACTTCTAATTCATCAAATCTATTACCATTCACTATATTGATGTTACTATAATCACGTGGTTTATTACTAACACTACCATCTAATTTAAACAAAACATCATAACCACCACCAAAAAATGGCAAATAAGAAGGATTACAACCAACTGCATAATTATTATTGATAACATAACTAAATTGTGCAGTATTGATATTATTTCTATTACTTATATTAAATATAAAACTTTCAGTTGTATCTTTCCATACACCACCTCCACTCCAATTCAATGGGTTATAACCACCAACTATTTGCTCTGAATTTTGTATTCTGCCAACTACAAGAGTTTTGTTGATATTATCACATTGTTGATGAAATGTAGCAACATTTAAACCATCTCTGCTACTGCGATATAAAAGTTTGAATTCATATTTGACTTCCCTGAATGAATCATATTGTGGACTTTTTCTATCAATCCAACTTGCAAAAAGCAAAGTAAGTCTGTGATTGATTGTTAATGATTCAAGTGTTTTCAAATTTGAAATTCTTGATGGTAATAAATTTAATGTTTGTTGCCTATCAGGAAAAAAATAGTATTGTGAAAGGGATCTCCATAAAGTCCTAGGAAAAAGTGTATTATATGGATCAATTTTATCAAAAAAATCCTCTTTAGAGATATCCTGAAACCTTATTAGAGAAATAAATTCTTTTAATGTGTTGCC